AGTGATGCCTGGGGTTTCCTCTAGCAGGTTGGAATCAAAGCTGTTTGTTCCACTCAACAAATACTTATAAAGCAATCACTCTGTGCTGGACCCTGCTAAGTGACATGGGGCATAGAAGAGTGACTGGATACAATCCCACCTCTTGAGGAACTTACCAACTTGGTAGGAGATAAGAGTTACGGAAATAAAACAAATTTGGGGAAATACAGGGCTGGTGTCAGGAAAGTACAAGGCTTCGATCGCCCTGAGGTGTGTTTTCTGTTCCACGGTGGCTTCCCCTGGTGGAAGCTGTGCATCAGGGCTGTCTGACTTTAGCACCGCGGCCCTGGAGAGAAGCCCAGTACTGGGAGCATGGACACATACGGCTGTTACTTGAGCTACTGTGTTTGTGGGTGCACCTGAGCCACAGCATTTGGGGGTCCAGTCATAGGATGCTCAGTGACACCCTAAAGGGCCTCATCTGGGAGAAGTCAAGCAACCCCGTATTCCTGATCTGATCTGCAAAGTGGGATAAGGCCTCTCACTCTTCCTGCCCCAGACGGTAGTATAACACGAGGGTTGGAATGTGGGAGCCTTTGGCACAGAGGCTGACTATAATGCAGTGGCTTAGCATCGGCCACAAGAGCTAGGTAGGCAGAAAGAAATGGGGTCAGTGCCTTTCGTGGCTTGACACCTCTCTGATGTCTACCTGTTCTTTTGGACCCCTCTTTGCCCCAGCCGTCTCTTACTGGGCTCTCCCATTCTCTCCAATGAGTCATTCCTAGGAGATCCTTCCTTACTCCTACTACTCCACTGATCCCATAGCTTCCATGGTAACATGCGATGCATGTGCTCTTGTCCCATCTTATGGTTTGGACATGAAATGGCCTGGAAAGCCTCATGTATTTGGATTATGATCTTCTAGCTAAGTGTGCTGTTGGAGGCGGGGCCTGCTTGGAAGAGGCAGATCACGGAGGGGGTGACTTGAAGGGTGCCTCTCCCCCCAGGCTCCTCCTATCTCTCTGCTTCCTGGCTGCTGTGATATGAGGAGTTTTCCTCTGCCAGATCCTTCCACCATGAGTTTCTGCCTTGCAGCCAGCTAACCAAGGCCTGTAACGGTGAGCCAAAACAGACCTCTCCTTTCTGTTGTGGATACTGGGTATTGTGTCCCACGAATGAGAAAGCGACTAAGATATCTCACATCTATTTTTTTTTTTGGTACCAGGGATCGAACTCAGATCCTTGCGCTTGGGGAGCAGGCAGCGGAACCACTGAGCTAAATCCCCAGCCCGATATCTCACATGTCTGTCTCTGCCCTGTCCTTGGTCCTGTGCCCAGACCCTCCATACCTCCTGAGCGTCCTGTGGCTCACCAACTCCACCTTGGATTCCACCCTGAGTCTCAGCTGAAGCTGTCACCCTCACACAGTTGCCACCTGAAGGCATTTGTGCTGCCCACCATGGCAGCCGTGGTCTCCCTCAGATGAGGCTGGGACCGGTCCTCTCATTTCCTCTCTTGCTGGCGTTTTGCTGGCTCATATGCTCATTCATTTTCATCTCAACCATTATTTCAAAACGTTTAAAATTATATATGTATTTATTTGTTTAGCAATAAGATGCTTTTCCTTGTTACTATACCGGAGATTTGAGTAGAATGACTGCTCTGGCTGTGATTGGTTTGCACAGTTCACAGAACAAAGCCTAGACTAGCACTATCTTCAGTCTGACTCCAGATTACCTTTTCATCTTCATGCCCGTGGTTTCCCTGGATCCATGCATCACTGTAGTGGGCATGCAGGAGCCCTTCCAATGCGCCAGCCTGGGGCAAACGAAGGCTCTACTGGCTGTTCCTGCTCCAGCCATGCCCTCTGCTGACCTCCAGCCTCATTCAGAGTTCAACATCCTCCTTAAAGCCTGTAAGTACAGAGCACCAGGCATTACCCGTCACCCCTTTCACTGGCTCATCATCCCTAAGAAGAGCCAGGATGTGGGGGCTCTCTCTGTTTTAGAACCAAGTGGTTTTGAGAAGAGTGTGAGTCTTTCTCCTCTCCCCATAGTGCAGATGAGCCTGTCCAGTCTCAGGGCCTGAGCTTCGAGGGCACAGCCAGAAGCCAGAGGGATTTCAGGAACACTGTTCAGCACCCAGCTCCCAGCCCTGTGCTGGTTAGGTGGCTGATCTCCTGCTGGCCTTGGCTCCAACATCCTGTTCCCACCTCTGCCCCAGTCTTCCCGTGTGGGCCCTGAATGTCTTTTCTAAGTCTGAGGCCTTGATTGTCTTCATGCCTAATCTGCACCCCGTCGCTCCAGCACTGGAGCCCCTTTTTTGCTGTGTGATTTGTGCTGTTGAACTCCAATCTGGTGACTGGTACTTGTGAGATTTCCTTAGTGCTGACTTCTGAGTACATCACATGGGTGGACATCTTAATAGTTACCTGTGCCTGTCTGTCAGGTACTCGCTTTCTTTTTGGTACTGGGGATCGAACTTGGGCCCTTGCGCTTGTGAGGCAGGTGGCGGAACCACTGAGCTAAATTCTCGGCCCTTGTCAGGTACTCTGGTTCCACCTTCCCAGGTGCCATCTGGATGTCTTCTGTCTGTCTTCCTTTGCCCCGCCCTCATGGCACACCTGCAGATGTGTGTGCCGGTCCACATCCCTGATGGGGGGGAGTGGGGATCTTAGGCCTGCTTCAGAGAATGGCATCACTCACCATCCAGGTGAAGAAGCCGGAAGCCAGGAGCCTTGGAGTGGTCTTTAGCTCTTCCCCCTCCCTGTGGCGCTCTCCCACCGAGTTTACCTCCAGGTCCCTTTCATTCTACCATAGTCCTGCCTAGTGCAGTGTTCTCCAGCTTCACACGGCATGGTTCTCACGCCAGTCCCGATCCCTGTCACCTCTCACCTGACTTACTGCAGGTGCACCTTCATGACTCTCCTAAATCCTCTCCGGACATCTGTCCAGCAGTCTGCACACTTTAGCTGGAAAGTGAAAATGTAATACTGTTTAAATAGCATCAGAATTCTGCTGAAAACTCGTCCAGATCTTGCCTTGCTTTTAGGAATAAACACTGACGTGGAAAAATGTTACAAAAAGGACCTACAAAGCCATGTGTTTCTAGCCCCAAGCTAACTCCCAGCGTCCTCTTATTCTCTGACCAAGGCTCCCTTTCTTCTATGCACCCACCCTGTTTCCTCCCACCTGCTTTTCAGCATGCTGCCTCCTTTCTTGCACCTCTGTTCTCATCTGTCACCTTACAGCCCAAGCATGCCTGTCTGTGCCCACCTCCACTGGGATCTTCTGTTAGCATCTTTCACGTGCTCTTGCAGCTCCCTGCACACCCCCTTTATAGCACTTAGCACAGTTTTAAATTACAGAGCCATGTGATCTTTCATAGATGTTTTCTCATACTTGGCTCCAGTGAGGTCCACAGACAGGAACCGTGTCTGTTTTGCTCACAGTTTTATGGAGCCCTGTGATTAGCATGTAGTCAGTGCTTCATACATATTATTAGACGAAGTGAATAGCCCCTGTGTGCCCTGTTCTGTCTCACAGAAGTTAACTGAGGCTATGTACAGGCGTGTCCTAGATGTGATGCTCCATCACTGATATTTCCCCTAAGCCCAAACATGGGAACCTCTTTATTTAGGAAAAATCATGAAACACATGTACAGAAGGGAGCTCCTGAAATTCTTAGTCCATATCCTGCATTGTTTATAAAAATATTTACATATGCATATTTCTTGCTTAATTTTCTTGGTGTAATGATTTTCATAGATACTGCGTATCATTATATTCTAAGTTTACTGTGCTTCTTTGAACTCAGAGCCAACAAAAAATACATTTCTTCATGTTAATTGCATGCTTCTTTTAATCTATTAACAATTCCATTCCGTATGGGATTCCTTTTTGGTCTTAACTTCTCGGGTACTCGGTGCAGAATTTCATGTTTGACTGTAGTGAGTACCTCTTCCCACGTATCTGGTTCCATTTCTTTTCTGCTCTTTTTCAATCGATTTATTTTTTGTCTGTTTTTATTGTTGTATTGTGTTATATTTAATTATTAAAGACAATTTAGACCTTTTTGTTATAAATGTATAGTACATTATCCATCTGTCTATCTATCTATCCCAAAGTCCTTATCCTTTCTCTTTTTTTTGGTACTACAGTGGTAATAATCCACATTCTTCATTTGGAGCAACTCTGGTGAGGGATGATGAAAAGAATTTGTGGAGTCTACCTCATGATGTGTCCCACACAGAGGCAGATGATGACAGAATCTTGTACAATTTGATAGTCATTCGTAATCAGCAGGCCAAAGACTCAGAGGTAAGCACTTTTTGACATCTTGCAGATGATACTGGACAGCAAATATAGCAGTTACAAGAAGCTTGAAAATAAAGAATGAGCTGTTTGGTGTTTTTGTTGTTGTTGTTGTTGTTTTAAAATTAATTGGGCTGGGGTTTTAGCTCAGTGGTTCTGCTGCCTGCCTCATGAGTGCAAGTTCCCAAGTTTGGTCCCTGGTACCAAAAAAAATTAATTATCTTGGCACACTTTTTTTTGGTACCGGGGATGATATTCTTTTGATATACTCAACGATCACATTTATTGTAGAGAATTTGTTTTTTTTAAATTTTTTATTTTATTCTTTTGGTACCGGGGACTGAACTCAGAACCTTGTGCTTGTGAGGCAGGTGGCAGAACCACTGAACTAAATCCCCGGCCCAGAGAATTTGTACCTGTACATAATATATCTCAATTCTTCTTTTCTTCCCATTCTGGTTTTTTTTTTTTTTTGGTACTGGGGATCGAACTCCGGACCTTGAGCATCCCATTGGTGGCCAAGCACCTCACAATCTCTGGCTACGTAGTTTCCCAGCAACTTCCCCTGTTTGCCTGGTAGTGCTGACAGTGGGTCACAAGGGCTGCTGCCACCACGAACAGCCTGCACTGGCTACGGTTCCTGAACGTATGAAAGGACTGTATGGCATTGTTCCTTTTTCAGGGGAAGATCACATTTTTACACCACTGTACTGGGTTGACCAGTTAGGGGTTTGCTGGTGACAATGGAACCAGTTCTTCTCTTTCCTTCCTCTTCTTCTCTGATCTTGCCTAAAGCAGCAATAGCACAAGGGAAATAATGTATACAAGTAATTACCCCCGCTGCTACCACCACGCACATGTGGAGCAGGCTGCACAGGATGTTTGGCGCCCAGCCTGACTGCTGTCCCTGGAGGAGCTCCTGCTTCTGTTTTATTTATGCATGGTTTTAAAAAGACAATTAGAGAGCAACATGAGCTACAGAGAGCTCTCAGTGAGCATAGCTTCCTAAGTGGCCATTGTGTGTTTTCTGTGCTGGCATGGGTCTGGGGTAAAGAGTCGTTCAAGAAGCTTTTTCTTCTGGCCAAAGAAATGAAATCAAGCTTGACTCTGGAGGGACTCTGTTACCAAGAAAGGCACCCCAAGACATGACATGAAATGATTTGAAATATCCCTGTTCATAGTGATTCCTTTTTTAAAAAAAAGTGTAAAAGTAGTGTGATTAATAAAAAGGTGCTTCTTCTAAATTTTTAAAATCCAGGTGAATATTAATATATCTACTCATATTCCCCACAGATTAGATCATATATCATATACTGGTCTATACCTTGTTTTTTCACTTAATATGTTTTGGACACATTTCCATTTCATTGTGCTCAGATTTACTTTATTGCTTCTGGGAACTCTGGTATTCTCTTCTATAGATTCACCATCATTTATTCTACCAGTCTCCACTGATACTCAGGTTTTTTTTTTGCTTGTAGAAGCAGTGGTGCAGTGGCCATCCATATGCTTGTTGTATAGCTTCCATATTTTTTTCAGAAAGAAAGTCACTGGGTCACAGTATGTACATTTAAAGTGTTGGAATTGTGATAATGCTTCCTTCTTGGAGGAAACTAGGAAAAACACTTGAAGGTGGAGAACAGAGGTTGCAATCTCAGATCCTTCCAGGGACTAGGTAGCAACATCAGTGAGTGAATTGGGCACTCCTCTCACCCCAGCATATTGAATGGCGTTAGAAACTCATCCTGTTTACGGGGAGCAGTTGCTAAGCTCCAGGTAGCTGTTGACTGGGCTGAGAATGTGGATCTGCAAAGGCTGAAAATTTCGATTTTTTGAAATAGAAGCTGAAAAATCCAAGTTTTTGTATAAAAGGGCCAGATTTAAAAATAATTCAAATAAAAAAATATGTCAGCTAAGCAAAATATGTTAGTGGACTCCTGATATATAAGGACAGGTACAGTGAGTAATTTGACCACTTCTTATTATTTTGTCCAGTATGGTTGAAAAAAAGAACTTAACATTGATTTAGAAGATGAAGGTAGAAAACTGGTCGGGGTGTTTTACATTTGAACAAATTCTATATCTATTACTATTGTTTATTTTCTTTTTCATACAGGAAAACATTGGTACATATTTTAATAAAACAGAGGGTTTTGGCTTTGAAATAAAATCAAATTCTACCCACTAAGGAGCAAGGAAACCTACATATTTTTTCATGTTTCCAGTTTAGAAGCTCAAGCAAGGTATTGAGACAGAACAAAATTTTTTTTCTTGACTAAGAACAACACAAAAGACCTAGGACTGCTCATTCTTGGAATCCTCTGAATAATAAAAAATAATTTCAAAACAGTGTGTGTAGTACCTACATCTTCTATTGAATCTGAAGTGGGTAGAAGAAGCACTACAGATCATTAAGGTTAAATTTATAGTCTTTCAAACTGAAAAACAGTGAGAAAAGAAGATATATATGTATATAAGGAAGCAAATAATGAAGAATAGGCATGAACTTAAAGTAAGGTGCAGTGTCGAAAAGTAAAAGTCGCGTTATTTGAATCTCATAACCATCAAAAGCTTATGGAAAATAGGCTTTCAGCAGAAGAAATGATGCATTGGTAACTCTCCAACTAGTGGAGAAATTGATGCTCTTGCTTTTGAATGATGTCATAAAGTATTTTATCTTTGAATAATGGTAAACAACCTCAAAATCATACCATTGAAACATTATCCTCTTGTCCTTTCTCATTAAACTGGTTGCACTTTACATAATACAGTCTTTTCTAAGGAGTTTAGCAACTTCTAATGATGTTTATACACCTAATTTATTTATTTGTATAAGTAACTATGAGTATACCGAGTGATCTTTCTTCTATGATATGAATAACAATAAAAATAGTGCTAGGCATTCTTTTTCCCACTTTGCATATGTCACTGATGCCATGCCTTCTTAACAGCAGCTCAGAGGTACTGTAGATATCATTACACTCTTTCCATTTTAAGCAACTTATGTAAGGACACACAGCTGTTAAGTTGGAAGCCAGGATCTGAATTTGGGCTTTGTGACATAATATATAATGAGTCTCATGGTGGAGATTGTGAGAGAGGAATAGGTACTCTCTAATTAGATATAGATTTCAAAATACATCAGCAAAGTCTGCCCAAAGCCTATGCCTGGGACTTTTGGAGGTCAGTGAGTATAAAGGGCATTTTCACATGAAGGGGATGCGAGGCTTGTTTGGTTAGAGGCTGGAGTCTGTCTTCAGGAAGTGGTCCTGGGAATGGCACGTTTCCTATGTTATACTTAAGGGTGGTGATTGAAGTTGGTTAAAAAATCATTTTCTGAGCTGTTTGATAAGCTCTGTGAGTTTCATCCTTCTCATTTCCATCCTTTCTTCACCTTTTTTAGGTTCTCTGACCTGTGCTATTTGACACCTCTTCCAGTGGTTCAGTAACACTTCTCATAGGAGTTTGTACATTATTTCCGCTCTGCTCAAAAAGCATGTGTTCCCTTTTTTGGATATATGTAGTACTGAGGATAGAACCCAGGTCACTGAACTATCCTCCAGCCCAACTTTGACACTTTTAATTAAGAAAATACAAGCTTAAAAAAACATACAAGCTTAATATCAGATAATTCTCATAAACATCTTTAAGCACTGTTTTGGTTCAAAAAATAGGTGATGTTGGGGCTGGGGATTTAGCTCAGTGGTTCCGCGGCCTGCCTCACAAGTGCAAGATCTGGAGTTTGATCCCCGATACCCCCCCCCCCCCAAAATAGGTGATGTTTATTAGGCATAAAAGGTGATAGAAGTTCCGAGCTTATCTTTTAAAGCTTTTAAGTAATTACATGCTCAAAAATGTATATAGCTCTCATGAGTGGTGCCTGCCTTCTTGTGACTGAATGATGCAATATTCACACATCAGCAGAGCCACATAATGACCAGATACTTGTGTCTCTAGAGTGATCCCCTGGAAACCACACTCTGTTGAATCCTGGGGGAGTGGCTAAATACCACTTTTTAAAAAAAATTACAAAGGCAAAAGCATAACATGTTGCTTGCTGGTTTGCAATGTGTTTGCTCTTCTTGTGCGTCCACAGTGTCGCCGGCCATTGTAAACAGGTCCAGCAACATATTTTGTATAGGACTAGGCCTTCCCACAGCTGTTTTCTAAAGTCAGCCTGCCACATCTGGAATCAAAGAAGTGGCCAAGCAGAGTGGATTGGAATATTAGGTGGGAGCGTGTGACAAAGGGCTGAGCTGATCATGAACCAGCTACATAACTCTGAGGCCGTCAGACATGCAGGTATTTCAGTTTGACTCTGCATTTCTGTCTGAGGAGGTTTCCAGAATTAGAAAGAGCCTTTCTGTCAGGGCCATCTGATTTCTCTCTGAATGGGTGAACATGAGCTTCTGTTAGAGATAGGAGTGCAAAGTTTGCCAACCAAGAAGGAGCAAAATAACTTTGGAAAATTGAAGGAGTTCTCTAGATAATTCTGAGTTCTTTCAAAGGCCTGTATTTGGGGGTTCAAATTATTAAGGTTTTGAGTAACTCTATTGCTTATTTTACTTTGCTACTGATCATTTGGGTTTAAGGGATTTTTTTTTGGGAGATAGAAGGGGTATAGAATCTGAGGATAAAGGATTCTTGTCCTCTATTTTCTAGGTAGAAGTAATTATTAGATATTATGCTGTGTGCTAAGCAGCATCTGCATGCTCACCAGAAGAGCACTGAGCCCTCATGGGACCGCTAGGAGAGGCATCCCAACAGGCATGATTAGAGACGGCATCATCTCTACAGGAGGTGGAGGGAATGAGGGGAGAACTGGGATCGCAGGTCAGATCTGTATGACCTGGAAACCTGTATGATTAAAAACACTCCTCTCGGGCCGGGGATTTAGCTCAGTGGTTCCGCCACCTGCCTCGCAAGTGCAAGGACCCGAGTTTGATCCCCGGTACCAAAAAAAAACAAAAACAAAAACACTCCTCTTGTCTCTTTAGTGAGTTTAG